GTGGCCAACAAATTGGCTGCTGCTGCTGCTGGGTTGGCACTGGCAGCTGCTGCAGCCAAAGCCCCCGTTGCTGCTGCTTGACTGAGACCTAAACCTAATGTGTTGAGATTATATCCATAGCTGGCTAATGTATTAAGTGCAGAGGTGATGGCCACCAGGTCATTGCCTGTGAAGCCAGATAAAACTGCTGGAAAGGCTGCAACGCCAGCAAGGTTAGCATGTCCTAATAGCCCTGCGGCTGCTGCAGCAGTTGGTAACACTTCAGCAGTGTTTGCATAAGGAGATCCGGTTGGATTGGAATTTGCCACTGGACCTGTCACATTGGCATAACTGATATTGAGACAGCTGCCACTTTGTGGATCCTCTTGTATCTTCTGGATGATAAGTTCAACAGCTTTTCGGTTTTGTTCAGGTTCTCCACTCACAGTGACAACCCTCTCTTGCAAGTTGATCCCATCAGGTTTCTGGGAAAGCTGCACCCAAGCCCCTGACTGCTCCATTATAGCCTTCACAGTAGCACCTCCCTTCCCTATTATCAGACCTGCTGTGCTGTTGGGAACTATAATCTTTACCTGTAATTAAAAAAAATACGTATAAATAATACTTCTGTTTTGTGCACATACATTATATTACTTTGCTATCCTAGAAAAGTAAAATAATAAATTGAAAATTAGTTTAAACATAAATTATGAAAGACAGAAATATCACAACTTTCAAGTGACTTTTATCACACTTTAATAATTATCCTGTAAAATTAAAATTTTTAAAGAAAAAAATAAATTTTCAAGTTAAAATTATTAAGTAAAAATTTTCCTTGAGTCACTGTGCATTTTGCAATAGAATTTATAAGAAATTAGTATGTTAACAAGAGGGAATCATAACTATACATCTATGGTAACATTTTTATATAGCTCCAAAAATCTCAATGCTATTGATGATTCTTCATCTATTGTAACTTTAAGAAAATGCTTTGCTCTAAAACATTTAAAAAACAAATAATGCAGAATTAAAAGACAAAATTAATAAAGATAACAGTAGGAAAGTTCAAGCTTGAGTCCCTTCAAAACATTAATTTCATGTTCCTTATCACCCAGTAATTTTTTAATTAAAAATACCTTACTTGTTTCATGACTGTTTTCAGAGAGAAAGATCAGTAAAATTATTAGTATTTTCATTTAAACTGATAGACAAAATATAACTTAATAATGAGTGATTTATAAATACTTTTAAATTTTTCAAGGGCTTGGGGTAGATGAAGCCTATTTAAGAACTGTATTACTAAGCTGCACTATCTATATTTGTAAAATAATTGGTCTAATTATTCCCTTTTTTGGCTATCATAGCTACATTTTTAAATTAGGGCTTACTATCATCTTATCAAATGGTACTACCATATTTTCAGAGAATACTGAAAAATTACTGAAGTGACATGAATACTTAATCCAATATAACCAATACAGACATCTTTATTTGTATTAAAACACACAAAAATCACCATATTTGACTTATTTAATCACAATAAAAAACTATTAAAAGAAATATCAAATCAATATGACATTTATATCATCCCTAAAATTAAAATATAGACACTAACATTTAAAATTATATTTTGGAAGCATAATGATACATATAACAATGTTTCATGTCTCATTGGGTAGGTCAGAACTTGTGATTGTTGTGTCACTGACAAAGCACTGAAGTAATTGCTTTCCTTGTTCCAGACATTAAAATGGGCAGGCTAAAAAAAATGTGCTAAAATTTGAGCAGCATATTTAGTTGTTTGAGAAATTCTAGTAGGAATTTCATTAGCTAATTTTTAGCAAGTATCTCTAATGCTATCTTTAAAACACAGATTTGGATAAGAATATTTTAAAGAAATACAGCCATGCATTTTAGGAAATTTTGTTCTAGAAGGTAGCAGGCAGAGAAAGTATAAATGCAAATTCTAAACCAAGTCACCTCATAAATATATGTATATATATTATATGCACACACACACACACACACACACATTTTATTTCCATACAATTTAAGCCATGAACTAATTTTAATTTTGTTTCATTACAATTTGTTTTTATAATCATTTCATTTTATGGCAAATAGTCTAAGTTTTCAAGAACTTAGAAATTTCAAGACATAGTCTAAGTTTTCTTAGGAATGTCAAATATATCCTTCTTATTCCCTGATTAAGTGCTTTCAGTTTCAATAAATAAACTGAAGTATTTTTATATTTGTTAATTTTGTTCACAGACTTCCTTTCTGTAGAAAATTGTCTGAAAAGTTAATGTGTTACAATGAGAAAGTTAAGCCATGATCATGTCCTATACCAGTTATAAAAATGGATTACAGTCATCTTTATTTTTATCCTGTGCACATGAAATACTGAGAAAATGCACTTTTAAGGGTTTAAGTATCTGAATGTTAAATATAATTGTATTTTATGAATAAGCAATTCTTTTCAAAACTGGTAACTTTTTTGTAACAAAATATTATTGAAAACATTATGTACTGGCAAACTGCAGTACTTTAACATATTTTTTAATGAAGAAAAATGTATTAATCGATTAAGACTTTCAAAAGAGCTAGTCTTAGAATATTTTAAATTATAATTAATTAATTTTGTCTTGTTCAATGTAATGGTTTCCTGCATGATAACCACCCAGAAGCAGAACAGCACAGAAAAGGTTAAGTATAGGCTGATAATCTAAAAGGTAATGAAATTTAATGAATAACTTTATATATCACTCACTCCATAAAATGTGTGAAGATATTAATTCCTACTATATGGCACATTAAGTCTCACACTATATATATTTGTTCACATAGTTTTTTCTTTTTAATGCTAAAACTATTATGCAAAACAACTTGCACATGTGAGCATTGCACTTATATTATTAAACATTAGCTTGTCTTTTTTAAAAATCAGGAAAAAACCCTTTAATTATTTTTCCTTCTTTTCAATACTCAAAATTTTATGTATTTATTTTTTTGAGAGACAGTCTTGCTCTGTCGCCCAGGCTGGAGTGTAGTGGGGCAATCTCGGCTCACTGCAACCTCCGACTTCCAGGTTAAAGCCATTCTCCTGCCTCAGCTTCCTAAGTAGCTGGAACTACAGGTGTGTGCCACCACACCCAGAACACTTTTGTATTTTCAGTAGAGATGGGGTTTCACTATATGTTGGCCAGGCTGGTTTCAAACTCATGACCTTGGGTGATCCGCCCACCTCAGCCTCCCAAAATACTGAGATTACAAGCGTGAGCCACTGCAACGGCCAACACTAAAAAGTTTTAAAATAATATATAATTCAGAAATATATATAACTTTTTATGACAGTAAACATCTTCCAAAAATATCCATATTTTTGAAAATTGAAGAGTTGTATGACAATATCTATCTTTTTATTAAGGCACTTTTATGTAGTTAATACTATCTTCTGAATTTTAGTATTTAACCATTTCAAAGAATCTTACATAAAAAAAATCTGTCAACCACAATCAGTGGTTAATCAAATATTGATGTGGCCCCAAATTTTGCTGACAAGATTAAAAAACTAAAGGTGTGTTATGACTTAAGAGCAGGCTCAATGTTTGCAAATTAGTATTTATAATTTACAGCATTTTCTAACTTCAGACAATAATAGGCTATTTTGTATAAGATTGCCAAGTTAAAAAAAATAATGGAAACATAAATTTAAAAAAATTAAAGTCAAAATTTAAATAAATGTAAACACTTAATAGCTTACACAAAGCATTTATCATCCAATTTTTATTTTTGATGAAAGAATGTGAGACTTTTCTTTGCCTTACAGTCTTTTTTCTCTGAAGAATTAAAAAATATATCCATATCTATTTGCACACAATATTAATCTAATATGGGCAGAGATAGGAAGCAGACTCTCTGAAAAGAAGTTGAGAAAAAAAGAAAAATGAAATTCATTTAAATAATATAACAAGAAGAGTAGTGTTATATTTACATTTTAAGTGTCAGGCCAGAGTTAAGAAAAAGTGGGACAGAAAAACATGGAAGCTTCAAGATGGTGGACAATTGAATACTGGTAAGAAAAAACAGATGAGAAGCAAAAAGAATCATGTAAGATAGATTTTCTCTTCTTATAGGCATTTACCAAAGCAAATGTCTATACATTGATATTATATACATTCCAACTGAAATGATAAATAGCAAATTCTAATAGTATACAAGGATTTGTTTTCATTGGTGAAGTCTGTTAATGCTCTGGCTGACATAAATACACATATACTTATTACTAAAGAATTGGGATTAAAAAACTGATAAATGGCATACAAATTATTTGCTATACAACATGTACAAACCTAAATCAGATATGTTCTTGACAGTTACAAATCAGATTTCCCTTCAGAGTTATGACTATATTTGCTAGCATCCACCTAATCATTTATAAATGCATACTGAATGGCCCAAGCCCTGCGTTGAAAACTGAAGATAAGGGACATGACATTGTTCATGCCTTTAAAGAGCTAATAGATAGTTGTAGAAAATGAGGGTCTTTCAGTGCAGGAGTCTTAAGAGTGTGGCAAAGTATATAAAGGCTATAAAGGAGACACAAAGTTTAACTGGACAAAGAAAGGATAGGTAAGAAAATCCTTGAGAGATGAAGATATTTCCCTAATGGCCTTTCACATGTGTAATATCAGTACACTATTTTTTCACAACGAAATATTTCCATAAATTTGATCACTGTTATTTCTGTGTCAGACAGTTACTGTTTCAAATCTAAACTAACTTTAGCAGTGATGAACTGATTAAATAATTCTATTTATTTATTTATTTATTTATTTATTTATTTATTTATTTCAGGGGTTCTCCCTTTGCCACTCAGGCTGAAACACAATAGCAGAACCACAGCTCACTGTAGCCTTGAACTCCTGGGCTCAAGTGATCCACTTGGGTCAGCCTCCTGAGCAGCTGGGATTACAGGTGTGAGCCACTGCACCCAGCTTAATAATATTTCTTACAAAGTAAAAGAATTTTTACTTAAATTTTCCTTATTCTAGACTTACAACTTATTTGTTATATCAAATAAATATGAGCTAAGATTAACAATATAATTACACTAATTACATTAGCATCAACTCTTTTTCAGAAACAAAGTAATAAAATTACAATTTCTCTATTTGCGATTATAAAAGAACTTCTATAAGAACTCTGAGTTTTAAAAATACCACATAAATAGGTTTTAATATTGACATGTTTCTAATTAAAAACAGACATTAAGATCAATTTACTCTTTCTGCAAATAAGAACTCCAACTGATTATAGTTTTATGATTATAAAGGAATGAAAATGTCTATAGGCATCATATTACTTCATCATCATGTGAGAAAATCATAAGCTATTTAATAAAACCATATGTTAAAACAAATGCAAAACAAGTTCCATTATAATTTGAGAGCTTCCAATTAATAGTATGAATTATTTAGGGATGCCATATTTACTACATATATATGACATTACATTTATAAAGCATTTCCTATCAATAGTGGACACCTGTTATTTTACTCACTCAGTCATTCAACTGGTATCCAATCATTCT